TCTTWAAGAGTAAATACATTACAGGAATTCCTTGAGGAATTTAACAGCCTGCAATGCCATTACACAAGCTATTAGTTCTTAATTATGACGGTACCCAGATCTGACATGTTCGTGCAGCTGCAGCTAGTAACCAACAGCCTTAAAGGCCACCCCTAGACGCGAGGGCCTTTGGGAGGCAGAGCAGCTGCTGGTTGCCCAACGCTGCACCCAGTACAGAAAGCAAAACCCACCCGTTTGTCTCTAGGACTTGAAATGCAGCCAAGGGGCTCCTCTTTGCTGCAGCTGCTCAGCGTCGGAAGAAAATTTTATTACAACAGGAATAATTTTCTCTTCTTTATTTTCTGCTTTCAGCTACCCCTTCACTGCTACCACTACTTTTATTTTCTCAGAGCACTTTTTGAACAAGCTTAACAATATCACCCCTGAAAGTTAAGAACCTTCCATTCCTAARTGTAGTAGCCTTCCAAGTCAGGTGAACCAAACAGCAGGTTACAYACATAGTAAGGGTGAAGAGTAACTTCAGTGTTAAATGAGTAAGCTATTAACACTGTGCATTTGTGCTTTATTTATATCAGTTACAAATACCTTAATTTAAAATATTAACAAAGTGAGTTGGAAGAAGCATGTATTGCTTTTAGACTTAAAAAATAAAGTGAAACATCCTGGAAGCTGATGAGCATTACTGGTAGCTCAGTGTGCAAAACGTATGTGGAAAGGCCCACATTTTTTAATTTAYTTTTACTCTTTTAAGATCTTCAGGTTACTACAATATTACTTACAACCTTGTTAAACCTCTCTCATTTACTGCGTTTCTTAAGTAACTGGGTGAAAATAAGAAACTACCAGTTAGGCAAAATCCAAACATTGTGAAAACATGAGATTTTATTATGAAAGGTTGAGAAAATAAAGCAAATAAGAATAATAGTGAGAAGGCACAATCAATACACCCTATTTCTTTCACATAAAATATTCTAATGATATCCAAATAGCTTCAGAATATTCTTTAAACAATTTGGATTCTATTCCTTTCTTTGTAAACAGCCACAGCACCATAATCATTTACAGAATTAACTGATGAAAAAATCCCTTTCCATTTTAACGAGGTATGTTTAAATAATGCACAAACATTGCTTTAGTTCTTTTTTGTTCTTTTTGTCTTCCCTTCTAGTRTGATTTAGTAAACAAACAAAAGTAAATGTATCAAAGTTACAAAAAAGATAATAAGTTGGGGGAGTCTTTATTTTACACGGAAGTTAAAAATAAGATACAGTTCCACCATGAAGAATTAGGTCAKGGGGGACAAAAGATTCACCTAAACWTTGTAATTACYTAAGGGGCAAAATGTAAAGTTCAGYATTTGTACAAAGCAGCATATTTTTCCACAAGTGGAAGCTCAAACAAAGAAAATAAATGTAAATACTGCACCTACTTGGAACGTTGCCAAGCTAGATTCTGATGTTTTAGCAAGTGTTAAATGTTAAGTTTATACAGGATCTGGAATGGACTTTCAAGGGAAAAAAAAATCATTGCATTAGATACAGCTCTGAGAGGAGTCTGCTAGTACAGAAATTAGGGGTGACAGACATAAATGTTTTATTCCACCTTTCACATTCCTTTCAAACACTTCACTCGCAAAAGATATGCCATGGATAAGGTCAAAGTTAGCACCAGAGTTAGTAAAGCTAGCAAAGTTAGCACAAGGAAGCACTCGAATCTARGCACAGTGCAGTCCATAACCAATGAAGATGGATGTCTTATTTACAGACCTGGATTGAAGTATACATCCAAGACAGATCTACTCAAACCCAATGCAGTCACAAAGGGAAAAAAAATAGTAATAAAAATAAAAATGCTGCAAGCCTCTACCTTGGAGAGCTGCATAAAGCTGCTAGAGAATCACCACCACTCAGCAACAGCTGGAGCAGCTAAACACTCGCGTGCGGGGGCATTTGTACAGCTCCTGCCTTACTGCACCATAACCAAGACAGGGGAGGAGGATTACTGAGGCTTTTACCAACAATATCCAAAAAACACTAACTCCATAACCTCCTTTCCATCCAAGCATTCCTGCCTATGAATAGGGTTTCCCAGAGGCACCACAAGAAAGCACTTTCCCAACCAGCAGATGCCAAACCCATGGAGCTATGTACACCAGCATGCTGAAAGTTAGTATTCTTGATAATGCCTTAAAACAGTTTGCATATAAATCTGTACAAAGAAATGAAGCAAACRGATACTCTTTCTAATTCTAAAGCATGTTTGTGTTACGGCCTTTGAAACAAGTTATTGTTAGTAATTGTCTTACTTSGGTTTAAGAATTGGCAGTTAATTTGAAAAACAAGCAACTGGAAAATGCAGGCATGTTCCAAGCATTTAGGCTGGTATCTACTACAGAAATCTAGACTTATATAAAGTCTACATAAAAATGTATTTATGCATCTTCTTAAACATATTTTCTTCCTTACAACAACAAAGGCAACATTTCCACRTGTTTCGAATACACTGATCCAATAGAATGTCTTCCTGAACCTGGTTAGAATCCAATTCTGGTGGCTATCATCCTATAGCTAAAGATTTCTAAAAGAGCAATAAAAGCAAACAGTGAGAACGTTTTTGTTTTTTTTAAAAGGAAAGGACAAGTTCAAAGTATTTTCAGGCTATGGTGACACCTCCAGGTGGCYAGCACCTAGGTCCTCCTTGTGCCAGCATTACCCCATCAGCAGTTACTTTACAAGCCTAGCAGAAGTAGTCCCAACAGTAGTAGCAACATTAACATCCCTCCACCAACACTGATTGGAAGAAGAAACTTCCAATCCAGCTTACGCAGGACACTGCACAAAACTGAATGGGAGCCCTGTGCTGAGTTTAGCAGCTCCTAGTTCGTTCCCTCCAAGAGCGGAGATTTCACAGTACCCTCCAGGTCAACAACTCCACTCTGCATGAGGTCTTTTTCCAGCATGAGAACCACATCTGAATTGCTCACAAAATATATTAAATTTAAGGGCAACAGGTTGGCCATTTTAGATCTAAAGAAATTCTGCTTTAGAGAAAGCAGAAAAACACAGTTTCCAAAGCTCAGGAAAAAAAAAAAAAAAAAAAAAAAAACAATTTCCCCCTTCAAGTGCTGACTACCGCCAACAGCCTGCAGCCCAATATTCAAACAGATCCAGGAACACTGAACAACCTATGTGTGTTACCAGGATAAGAAATCACTACCATACATCACCAACAAATGAGGCTGAGGAGACAGTGAGGAACCATCCTSACCTCTGGTTTAATGGTATCTGGTAAATTTTTGATACTTTTCAGAGAATCAATATCAAGCTGCTTTATAATACGCTGGTAAAGTCAACTTAAGCAGCTGGTGCACAATAAAAACAACAACAAAAAGAGATCTAGATCTGCAAAATCAAAAGCACCTAATAGATCTACTCAAGAAAATCAGGAATTTTGAAGCCCACTGAAGCCCTGCTGCAAATGTCATGGCAAACTTCCACTTTTGGGTTTCTCCTCATTTGACTTTACTTATAAATATCAATCTAAAAATTGCTGATATACCGTAAAGCCGGTGTGCAAAATCTATCACTTCAAATTACCAACAGGGATTCTGGAAACCACTTCCTCCCAAGTTAAAAATTGGCTGTTCCAATACTCTGGAACAGCACATGCCAAATATTAAAATCAAATTGCTGACTGTCATYAACAGAACATACATGCAAGTAAGCATTTTGGATGAAGAATCACTGTGCATCACACAACTGGGAGGCTCAATTACCACAGAACAGAACACACTTTGTTATTGTAACATCGACCTTTTCACTCAAAAGGAAAACTAACTCACCTTTGTGTAACTACATCTTACATTTCACAGGGCATATTTTATTGCAAAATAATCAATTATTTACAAAATAATAAAAAAAATCCACCACAGTTCTCCAGGCCTGGTGYAAGGCCCAGTGCAGATGAGGCCCTAGAGACATGAAGAAGACACCTCAAAGCTATCACAAGTCAAACTATCCTAAAAAAAAATTCCCAGTTTCAGCTCTTGAGCCTTATTCAAATTATTCCTACATAGGTCACACCAATTGCACATRTATGTACAAATGCATGAAGTATAAGCATTAAAACAGCCTTCTATCCATTCAACAATGCCACAGCCAATTGTGCTCACACATCTGAGGAGTACAACAAGTCATTTCCAAGAGCTCATTATACTGACTCGAGCCAAGCTCCCGCAAATAAACACACTTATGTTAAAATGGTGCTTGTGGGTGACATGCCATGCACCTGCCTTAGTCCAAGGACTCTGTACAGAGTCCACGCTCCTGGAAGATGAAGTCTTCTGCACCTCAATTCCACCCCAATATTACCCAGGGAGCCGGACATGCATTTTAACACAGGCCACGTGCAGAAGAGCCCTAATTACTCCCAGGAATATTACGCATTGAGGCCAAGCAGGTATTCGCACACAGGCAAATTATCCTGCTGGGCTTCGCGTCCCCAGAGCCCCGCGAAACTGATGCAACTCTTATTTGGGGAAACTTCCGAGCGGCAGCTCCGCAACAACAGTGGGAAGGAGGCGCCGGGGCCCTATGGAAAGCGCTCCCGAGGGGACCCCCGCACACAAAGGGCCCATCCCGGGCAAAGGCCCGGCCTGGGGCCWGGGGGTCCCTACGAGGGAGGCGGGYGGCCGCTCTCGGGCACGGGCCGCGTTACCGCCTGCCCGCTCCGCGCTGGAAGGCGGCGCCAACGGTGCCCGCGGTCGCTAAGTTGGCGGGGGAGAAGCTGAATCCTTAGGGAAAAAAAAAACATAAAATAAAAATAAAATAAATAATGAAAAAAAAAAAGATGGTGCCATCTCTCCGGTGGGAGAAGCGAGGGGCGGCAGGGGGCCCCCAAGGAGGAAGGTAAAGCGTGTCTTGCCCCCATCCCGGCCCGCCTTGCAAAGGGAGCATTTATTTATTTCTGTTTGTTTATTTCGGAGCGGGGAGGTTACTCACATGGGCTCCAAGGTTTTGCTGAGCCAGGATTTCAGCGCCTCGAAGTTTTCTATGATCATTTTAACCACCATCCAGAGCGGCCCGGGCCTCCCGCCTTGCCGGCAGCAGCGACAAGGGCAGCGGCCTCCGCGCCGTCCCGCCCCGCGGCTCCCGCGACCGAGGCCGCCTCCCGGTGCGGCCGCGGCCGCCTCAGGCCCCGCGCCGCCGAGGGGGCGGAACCAGCCGAGCGGCGGCGGCTGCTCCCTGCGGGCCCCGCTCCTCTCGGCCGCCGCGCGGCTCCCCGCGGCCTGGGCGGCAGCGGCGACAGCAGGAGCAGCAGCACCGGGCGGCGGCGGCCCCGACACGCGGCCCCCCCGTCGGCCGCGGCGAGACACGGAGCGAGCGGCGGGCGAGCGGGCGGGCAGGCAAGTAAGATGGCGGCGGCGCKCTGTCGCGAGAATAAGGAGTCTCGCGAGAGCGGGCGGCGCTCCGCGAGCGCGGCGGGGCGGGCTCCGCGCACGCGCCGTGGGCGGCGGKGGGGGGCGGGGTAGGAGGAGGGAGGTGGGAGCGCCGCGGTCACGTGGGGGGGTCGTAAATACGGAGGGAAATATTGAAATAAAAACTGACCCCGGCGGGAGACGTCAGTGTTCATCCCCGGCGGGGAGATATAAATAAACACTGGTGTTTACAGGGCTGCGTGGTCGTATAGGCTGCCCTCGTCCGCACCGGGGTAGCTAGCTGTCGGTGGGGCGAGTTTATCCTGCTAAATGCAATGGATGCCCCCCCTCCCAAAATAGGGCACCCCCTCCCAAAATAGGGCACCCCCTCCCAAAATGAGGCACCCCCTCCCAAAATAGGGCAACCCCTCCAAAAATGAGGCACCCCCTCCAAAACCGAGGCTCCCCGCCCGTCTGCACTGCGGTCACCGTCTGCCCAGGCGAGGCTGGTGGCATCCAGGCTGTCAAAGCCAGCCCAACCAACCGCGGGTTTAGCAGGCACTTCCATGGGGGGCTGCTGGTTACCAGGTGTGCTTGGATGTCCTCGCGTGGTGGTGAATGGCATCTGGTTCTGCCCTTCCAGGAAATGGACCGAAAACCTCCAGAGGCTGCAATTCTCCATGGACTGGGCTTAAAACTCTTCATCCGCAAGATTGGGCGTTTTGTGGCCGCTGGAAGGTGGTCACCAGGACTGAAAGTCCATCTGCGAAAGCCTGAGCTTGTCAGGACTGGGATCTACCAGTGTCCTGTGCTCCCCACCTGTCAGCCATCGGTGGGATACACAATTTCCATGGGTTTGCTTCTATGAAAACCGGGGCCTAGGGAGAAGGGAGATTCCGTTTTCCAGTTTTCCCAGCTTTGAAACCCAGACATATCTGAGGGGAGCATTTGGAGCCAGGAACGTGGAGGTGTTCAGAAATTTCTTAATCTAGAAKTAGGTTGACTCCCCTTGAACATGTAATAGGGATCACTTAGCTTGGGATATGGACTGCTCTTTGAAGAGACAGGCACCCAGGAATTAGGGACTGTGATAAGGATCTAAATTTTCTCCTTTAATCCTCTGTTAAAACCAGGAACCAATGGGAGTAATTCAGGCAAACAATGTTAATAGCGCTGTATGAGTCTATGTCATTCTCATATTCACACTTAGCTTTGATCCCTGAATACAAAACAGCCAACACCAACAACAAAAACACACTATCTAAGTCTCCTCCCCATAAAATGAGATTTCTAATCAATTTCTAAAAATATCCTAAGGTCCTCAAAGCAGTAGGTATATTTTGATATATTAACATAGGCTCGTTTTATGTCTAATTTGCAACAGTCTATATTGAACTCAATGTATGTGATGTCTAAAGATAATAGGTTGTATTTACTCCTTATAGCTTCACACAGTTACGTGGGGGCTGAATGTTGCCAGCATTCTTGCCAACAAGACAGACATTTCAATCCTTCCTGAGATTTCTGAAATTTTACTTCTGATTCTGGACTGATTCCTTGCTAAAGCCTTTGGAATTTTGCTCATTAATGATCTTTGTCAATTCATAAAGCTGATGTTGTAAATGCTGAAGACTTTTCTTTGAAAGCTGACATTTTCTTGAGTAATGGTGTTTTTTTTCCTATTTTTTAAAATTTTAAAAACAAACTGTACTTGTTGAAGAAGGATACTTTTGGGCACCTCCATCTTTTTACCAGAATATTTCTGCTTTTTCAGTCAGTTTTTATGTCATGCATACAATGTTAATTTTTTTCTGAGCTTTATTTTTGAAAGGTCTAAGAGTGGCCCGTAACATTATGAAGTTCTTCAGACAGATCCACAAGTTCTTCACCTTTTTGTTTAAGAGGAGACTGAATTTACAATCTTTAATTTCCGATTACATCTTCTACTAGCATTGAATGTGGATTTAATTTTGTATCATGGATGTAATCCATCAGTTCCAGGCCCCTAATATCTTCCAGGATTTCAAAGGAGTGAAAATATTAAGTGTTCCAGAGATAGTTACAGGCTGGATGAAAGTCAACGCATGGTCTGGAGATCAAGGCTTCCATGTCCTTGCAATGAGGACCTCACGGTCCTCCACCAGCACGGTCCCCACTATCGGAGCATCAGTTAAAATAGCAGCTGTTCGTGAAAGGTGATGACGGAGTCAGTGACATGKGCAGGTGGTGGCACCTGAACATCTGTATGGAACAAAAATGGTTTTATTTGTTGCTCAGATTTGGATTTTGTACTTTAGTTGGATTTCAGTTTTGCTGTTAGGTACTTGTTGCCCATTTCTAGTTGGATGCCTTTGTACCGTGCAAAAGAGGTTAAATTCATAGGGGCCCAACTTTCTCCACATAATTTTAGCTCCTGAGGCAGTCAAGGCTCCATGTGTTGATAATGTAAAGAAGAAGAGATTACCAGGTCTTAGATGAATGGCRTCAACTTCTGGTGCTCCTCATCTGCTACAGAGCGCCCCCCATTTCAGGAGGTCTCAATATGAACCCTGCGGAGGCTGTTAGGGATCTGATCCAGACCTCATGGTTCACCCTTCCACCCTTCACAGGCAGCAAATGCTTCTGAATTTCCAGGAATCTGAAAGCTGAGGCCCTCACAGAGCTTTCCACTTTAGCACACTCACCAGTGCTCCAGAASAGCTGCGGGTTGGTTTGGCTTTACCTCCGCTCGACCTGGCTTGGGCCACGTCAGGACTTTCAGGAATGGTCAGCCCTTGGCTTTTTCTACTTCTGCCTGGCAAATGGAGGCAAATTGGACCATTGCCACTTAAAATCTGTGGATATTAGAGCGCATTTCCATGAAAATGGTATTTCTGTGGGACAGGACTAAGTTATGGGATTGTATATCATTCCTGTATCTTTTCCTTTGCTGCAGGAGAAAAGGTGACACCACCAGAAAATGRTTTTGGCAGAATGTCCCAAGCCAGATAGTTTTGATGCCAGCCTTTGTGTCCCTTTTTATCCATAAAATCTGCTAGAATAGTTTTATTTTGTACTTTTATCTTATTTATAGGTGCCAAATTGATCATGTGCTTTTATATTTTTAGGATTAACAGCTGTTTTTTGGGGGATGCATCCATATTTATGATTTCCAGGCTAATATATTAGTGGATACACATCCCTTGAAAATGACTGTGATCCTGCCCTTCCTCAGTTTTCTTTTGTAAGGGAGGATCGGTTTTGTCAATAATTCAGTCACAATCCATGGCTGAAATTCTGCCTGTAAACTTTTATTTTTGTTGACACTGGTTCATACCTAGTAATAGACACAGGTCCTTAATTTTCTAGACAGCTGAACTATGAGTGTTTGTGGAGCTGATGCAGGTAGCACTTAGCCTGAGTCTGTAGGTCATACAGGTGAGTATTGCTCATAAAACAGATATTAACACTGGTTAAACAGGTTTTCTTGAAAGCGGAGGTCAGGTGAGTTGTTGGAGCTGGCAATCCAAGGGACACGCTCCTTGTTTTGTTGGCGTTGCCTGAGTGCAGAGACGTTCCCAGTAGTGGATATTTCACAGTGCACATCACACATTGGAAGCCGCATTGCCGTCCCCAACCCCTTTGCACTTCTCCAAAGGCTTTAAAAAACAAAACGGGCCAGTTGTGCAGCGAGGGGCGCTCCCGGCGCAGGGCTCGCGCTGATGAGGGGGCAGCYTGTTGAGGAAGGCTCCACTCTGCCAGCGACAGCAAAATGCAGTGTAGCCCCTGCCTTGCGCCTGCGGGCATGGCGAGGGGGAAGGCCCGGGGTGTAGTTGGTGCCTCCTCTTCCTCGCAGAATGAGGTGGGACAGGATGGAAAACACAGAGCCCTGGTGACTGCATCACAGAGAGCGTTGTCTCCTGGGAGCCATGGCGGGGCGGTCACCAAGTCAGGGCCGCGTGGCCGCGGGCCGCGCTGCACAGCGCGTGTACAAGGTGCTGAATGTTTGTGCTGCACCACGTGTGCACGGAGATGCAAACCCTCTGCAGAAAGAGATTTAATTTGGGGTGTTAGCGAGTGTATGTGAACGGTGGAAGCAGGACCTCGATTTTGCCCTTCCCGCTGTGCCGAATGCCCAGTCCTTCCCGATGSAGTGAATTTCCACTCGGATGGAGGTGATGGAATTTCCACTCCATCACCTTCCCGATGAAGTGAATTCCAGCACGTGCAGAGAAAGATGTTCTTTCTAAGCCTGTTTTTGTGCATGTTCCGTCACCCTCGAATCAGCACATTTCTGAGTCGCGGTGTGAGCCCCGTTCTTCCCCTGAGCTACCTCAGCTATCTATGATCACAATCAAACTTGTAATAAATGAAATAATAAACACAGATGACAAGTTGTACAGGAATCCATCCAAATGTGTCCACTTACCTTGAAACCATTTTAATTTATCTTTAATTATAAATAAAGTTGAATAASCATTTCAGTGGAAACCACATGCCTGCCACCTTTAGAAACGGCCCATTTCCCTGTGTGTAACTGCTGGCGAAGGCGGCTCCAGACAGTGGGTGGATGAGCCCCGTGTTCTGTGCRTCGGAAACATCACGCAGGAATTTTGGAAGGTGCTTCATGGCACGTTTGAGGGCAGAGCTGTATCATTTTCAGTATCCATTATACTCCACAATAAAATACTATATGCAGAATCAGGGACAGTGCAACAGCAAAGTCTTGGTGTTGCAA